AGAGTGTTGGACTGGATGGGCCTTTGGCCTGATCCAACATTGGACTCTCTTATGTTCTTATGTTCTAAGGTTCCCAGAATGGGGCTTTGGGCTCTCAGGCCGGCCAGAAGAGCTCTCCAGGGCGCCTATCTCTGCTTTGTGCTGCAAAGCAAAGCAAAGCATCGCCTTTTCCAGGAAGAGACGTGAAGCACCGCTCAGGCTTACCCGTGTCAGGTAGAAGAGGTGAGTGTGCGGCACCTCATCCAGAGCGTTGACGGCCCCCCGGAAGCTGTAGATCTGCTGGTGGGGGTCTCCGACTAAGAGAATCCCGCAGGACTGGGAAAGAACCACATCCATAACAGCTGCAGGAAGAAGAGCAGGAGACCCGGGGGTGAAAAAAGAACCCCGCCCTTGTGTAGAACGGCAGACTTTCCAAAGTCAAAAGTGAAGACGCGTGTCATAAGTCAGTCTGTGCTGAGTGATGGCTCAGATTTCTCAGAGGAAGAGCTACCTGCTAGCCCTCAGCCGGTAATGGAACTGCTGGCTGTGGCTGGCTCTGAGCCAGAAGGAGAACAACCAGAGATCAGGTTACCGGCTGATCGGGAGTCACAGCCTACAGCTGAAACTGAGCCAACTCCTTGTAGCTCTGAAGCAGCAAACAAGTCTTCAGAAGCCACTCCCAGCCCTCCTAGCTCACCCACACCCTTGCAGTGCCAACGCTGTCAGAGACGCTTAGAGTTGCAAGAAAGGAGAAGACGTGCGAGGCTCATGGCCCGTCGTTAGCTGTCAGTAGAAGAGTTCCAGGATGACTGCCAAGGAATTGGCTGGGAGTTTAGCTCCTTAAGACCTGGCTATAAATTCAGCCGGGAGAAGCAGCAGGTTGTGGAAGCCACGAGTACACTTTGCTACTGAGCCACCAACCTTGCTGCTACCGGACCTCTGCAATCTTGGAATGGACCGGATAACCGGCTTGTCTGGATCCCCTGACCTCAGACTGGATTTGGGCTTGCTGCCTGGAACTCCTTGACCCTAGACTGGACCTGCTCTCTGGAACCCCTGGCCTTTGCGATGGACTCTGGTTATTCTCTGCAACCTTGCCTGTGACCTGCCCTGCTGGACCCCAGCCCCTGCCTCCTGGGGAAGCTACACCAGTACAACGCCATTACTAGAAGAACACAGTCTTTTCATGGGACTCATCTTCTCATAGTCCACTCCCCCCAACCCGTACAAGAACAGGCAACTATAGCACCCAGGACAGCGGCCCCCACATGTTGGTTTTATTCTCTCCCACATTCCTTTTTCCCCCAGTGCATTTTTAAAAATTACTCCTTCTACCCCCTGCCCCTGGACTTCCCCTGTATGCATGTATGGCTCCACCTCCCGTGGCAGCCATTTCGCGATTGTGCCCGCCTCCCAGAATTCCAAAGCTGCTTACAGAATCAAAAATACTGGGCACCCTCATGCCAGGCCATCGAAGTCCTCCTTGAAAAGTCATCCCGCTGAGGCCTGATCAGTGCAGAAGAGAGTGACTTGCAGTGATCTGGACACTGTGCTTCCCTGAACGCAGCCGAAGATTGCATTGGCTTTTTTTGCCACAGCATTACATGGCTGGCTCTTGTTCAGTTTGTGATCAACTAAGACCCCTAGATCCTTCTCACCGGTACAACTGCCAAGTCAGGTCTTTCCCATCCTACTGCACTCGTGCCTTCGATACTTTTTTTTTTTTTAATAAAGGTTTTATTAGCTCCCCTAAAAAGGGGAGGTATTTCGCTTAAAAGAAAAAAAGGGAGGGGTAGACAGTGGGAGAAAGAGAAAGCTGAGTGATATATAAACTGGTAAATTAAACTGTTAGTAATGTCCAATTAATCTTCTTGGGCTTCTTCTGTGTGTTGCCAAACTTCTTTTCTTAGTCCTGTTACATGTATTCTCTGTTAGTATGTTAGTAATGTTCCTTTGAGATTCTGTTAATAAAAAGGATCTCTTCTGTGCACATTCAGAACCGCTTCTTTGCGTGCTGAGTACTTTTACTATCGCTGACGTGGAGGAGCTTCCTCTGTTGTCTTCTCCTTCCGGCTTGTTAGATCCTCCTTCGGGTTGTTGTTAATACGCTCAGTTCATGTACTATAAATCCTCTTCTTTTCATGCCATTACCGGAGATCCCGATTTTCGAGAATGGTATCAATTTCATTTTCGCTTTTATATTCGCTCCCAGACTCTCTATGGGTCCTCCTCGCAATTGTTGACTTATAAGCGCTTGTCAGGCACTTCTCGCTGTCACAATTCCAACTTATCTTTTTTGCAAAACTCCCGTCGGATTCACAGCCATAAACAGTCCAAACATTCAACAGCCGGCTCTCGCACACAAACAAACGCCCAGACGGAAGTCCCTCCCTTCTTCTCCGCTCGCTTTTGCCCAGCTCCGACATCT